GATGATAAATAAATAACAGAAACGCCAGAAATATATGTACATCAAGAAATACAACCCTTCAGTAATCGTTATTGAAACTATTCACTTTCGTGGGACAAATATCGTTTCTAGAACAATTCTTTTAAAGCGATTAATTTCTCTATATCTAGAAAACACTTTAAGGAGACAAAAGGTTGTTGCACGAACTTGAATGGCAAAATTTGGGCAAGTCGAAGCGTTTGCTTTAGCCTCGTCGTCAAAAATTGGAATTCAAACCTTTAAGTCATTAGTGGAGTAGTGAGTTTAATTTGTTGTTATCCGAATGTCAACTTTCAAACATTTGGATACCAGCATATGAATTTAAGATCACTGATGAGTTAAAATTTGGAAATTTAGTTATTGATTATCAATAAAATATTAAATAATGTTACAATGCTTATAGATCTATTTCATTTAGAATACCTCTAATGAATGTAAGCAAATTGGAAACAAAAGTATGTAGGCTGCCCTTAATATGCCTATCGGTGGATCATGAGTAGTTCTCATTTCCTAATTGTTTCTAAGCCTCAGAAGTTCAATTAGAGGGCTAGGTTAAAATGGAATTGATGTCGTAATTCTGTCAAGGGCGGTAGGATTACGGTGCAAAGTTGTAGATAGCTGCTTGGATGAAGCGCTTTGACGTTGCCACGGATAATTTCAACAAAACCGGAAAAATTTCTTGGAATTATTTATTGTGAGTCCAAATATGACAAACACTTGATGCTCTAGGGTATATATCGGTTATGTTAATTGTTTAATAGCAATGCTGAAGCCAAACGAATGTACACCATAATTCTATCGTAATCCAAGGTTAGTTAAAAGTGGAAAACTAGGCTTGAGGTGGCTCTTTATTCAAAAAAATCTTTAGGAGCCGGAAAAGATGTGGAAATGAGAGAGCTATGAAAAGCAAACAGGTGCACAAACCCTAGCAAACAATGGTTTTTTTTTTTGCTCATTATCGCAAGAAAAAATTGAAAGTTAGTCTAAAGTAAAGCCAAAATTGTTATAACAAAGCTCTTGATGACGAAATAGTGGTACAAAAGCACTAATATAAAAAAGAGGAAATTGAATAAGAGCACCTATCTTCTGACATAGACTTCAGCATTAGCCATGCTGTAGAAGTTGTGCTCCTAGCAAAGCTTCACTTTATTAGTGCCCACTATATGCTACATGCTTTTTTGGTAGATATTAGCTGTTGTTAAAAGAGTGGAATGGTTTTATTTTATTAAATAAAATAGAGTCAATATCATGAAATTTTAGATCCCTGGAATGCCCGTCGAGTCGTTTTTTTGGCCCGGTGGCAAACTGACGCAGGATCACGGAGTTGTAATCTATGACGTTAACCACCTTAAGGTGAGGTGCACTTACGAGCACCGCTTTCCATAGGATTTCAATCTATCAAAGCACTATAATGCGCAGCACTATGCAGCGCGCTCACGAACAGCTGTTTGCCTGGTTCTATCACGAACACCGCGATTGTCCACAATGGCATCTGCTTTCAGGTCCGGGAAGGACCGTTGGATGCGGCCATCATAGCAGCGAAGCTGCTCTCTGAAAAGAGGAAAAAACCGTTAGATTTCGGACAATTTGACTTTATTACCGACGCTGTTAATCTGCAAAAACTCTTCGCATTTTGCCAGGTAAGTAAAGGCATTATATCTGCGGGGAGATCCATATTGTTAGACCGTCCAGTATTGATCATATCTATTTCAAACGCTTGTTTCTGATGAATATTTTAGCCGGCTA